TATATATATATATCGGTGGATAAGTTTCTCGATTCTCTCTCGGTAATTTCTATACCGATCGTTGGCCTTGGATAAACTTTTTATTCATCCATCTGGAATTTTTATTTCCTAAGTAACTACATTCTTCCAAATGTGCAAATTTCTACGAAGGTAAAAAAGAAAAAAAAGGAATTATGAAAGAAAGAAATGGAAAGATCGATTCGTAACGATTCTCTTTTCAACCGATGGAAAAATAATTGAGTTGGCGAGTTACCGATATCTCTCGGTGGAGCGCTCGGTGAGATCGAAGGAATATCGGTCGGTATGGGAGCGTAAAAGGCAAGTCGGTCGACGGGAAGGGGGGGGATTACGGAGCGTGGACGATCGAATAGAGTCGGTGAGCGTGCGAGAGAGAATTAGCGAGAGCGTGGGTGGAGCATGGCAATGGGAGCAACGGTGGACTTGTTAGCGCGAACGTACCGTAGGGAATAAAGCGTGTCGCGTGTACGTCTAAATATAAAGTCGGTGGAGAAGAGGCGCGAGTGGCGCGGATCCCTGGCGAGAGTGCGGTGTAACCACCTAGTCAAAACACGCCTGTTGTGCCGCGAGAAGAGACCTCTCGGGCGGCAACACCGATTCCAATTCCAGTTGGCCTCTGGACTCGTGCATCTCGACTCGCTTTCCGGATCCTCATCCTCTGCTCTCGCTTTTCTCCGCGAATTTTCCCAAGTTTTGCGATTCGAATCGGGTGGACGAGAAATCGCGGAACGGTGCGTGATACAAGGTTTCTTTTTCTGAAAATGGTTGGAAAGTGAAAAAGTAGTAAGGGAAGTTTGGTACGAGGAGGAGCGTGTCACCGTAGAGAAATATATATTTAGTCGTGGTTTCGAAACTCGGCTCGAGGAGACTGGGACCGATTTTACGACGACCTTGGCTCGGAGGAATCGTAAAACCGCGCGAGGAGGACCGTCCGTGCTATTTTCGAGTGAAATATTCGCGCGTAATTCGTAGGAAAGATCGGACGAGGACGCGATCACTGGTCGGTGAAATATTTTACGAACAACAGTGTACAGTCGCGCGTTAATTAATTAATTTATAAATCGAGAGACGAGAAAGAGAGCGTTTCTCGAGCTGGACACAAACCTCTCCTCGAACGATCGAGCCTTCCTCGGCTAATTAAAAGAGAGAGCGACGCGTAAAAAATCGGCCGACATCTACCCGATTAAACCACGTGACGCGTCGAGATTCTTCGGCTTCACCGTTCCTCTAACGGTGTGTCGTGCGCAGATAGGTTCTTCTCTGCTAGATTCGCGGGAAACGCGACTTACAGCTGTTACGTCGAATACCTCTTCACCCGTTTTATCCATCTTGCTCTTTCGTTTCCTTCGATAAATCGTTCCTCTTCGAGCGAAATTCGACCTCCTGCACGAGGAGGAATTAACAGCGTTTCCTCGTGGTTGTACAATTTGAGGAGGAATCCCGTACGCGATATCGGCGTCCCTATCGCGGACGCTTACGTGCGATCCTTTGGCAATTAATTATTCTGGCCGAGTGGCGAGGCATTTAAACGACGAACGAGGCCGTAGTAGGCCCGTGAGAGGAAAGCGTAATCGCTTCAAAATCGTGTCGTCCCAGAAAGCGAGGGCGGGCCGTCGAAAAACGCGAGCGGAGGGGAAGAAGAGCTCGATCGAAACGTTCCGTTGTCCCGTTGACGGAGAAATACCACGCGTGTGCTATTCGCTTTTCGGGGCCGGCGTATCACGGTTATTACGAATTAAACGAAAAAGAGGTTAATTCCGTGGCGGCTAAAACGGTCGATCCGAGCGGCTATTTTCAGCTGGAAACGTGACACTTCATTCATATAATACTCGACTCGGCGAGCTCCTCGGCCGGCCGACACCTAATTAAATCTGAATTTCCTGCCTCCTCGACCGTTGCGCATACGTACATACTTCCTCCTCGCTTGCCTTCTTCCGCTTCGCTGCGAATCTTATTTTCCACGATCGAACGACACGATCGATCGATTTACTCGCCACTACGGTTTAGCGACGCGGAGGGGTATCGATGATCGATGAGCGTGATCGGTAGCTAGGAAAGGGTTTGGGAGTCGAGGGGAACGAAGATCTCTAAGTGGAAACGCGTGTTTTCGCCGCTGCCCTTTTCGCCCCTAATCCCTGTAGACCAGGTTTCCACCGACACCGACACCAAGGCAAGGGTCGAGTCGGTAAATCAGCCGGAGGTTGATTCCCTCCTCCTTCCATTCGCCTCCCATCCGCGCGTCCAGTCCATCCTCGCGATCGCGGGATTAAGTTGAACGCGCACGGATTAAAACCTTCACCCGTAAGGATTAAACTTTTCCTCTTTTGTACCGCGTCGCGAATCGGGGACTAGCTGTTAAGCGTGACTAGCTTCGGTCGTTGACTCGATCTCCGATCCCATCCTCTTTTAATCCCCCCTTGTCTTCGCTTCTTTTCCGATCCTCGAAACCGGGCAGCCACCGTTGCAATCGACAATTATATATATATATATATATTCCAATTATTCTCGCTAGAATCTATTAAAATCTTACTGCTGGAAGAAATGTAAGGTTGGATAGGCGCGACCTCCTCGTTGTCGAAAATATTTAACCGACCGTGTCGAATGTCGACCCTGATCGCGACCGAACCGGATCGGATCCGCCGCCAATTTGCGGCCCGTGCTCGGTTGCCCATGCGAGAATTGTGACTGTGTCGTGGAGGAGAAAGAAGGCGGCTCGAGATGGATCGTGATATTTGGAGGGGCGATAGCGGTTGCGCGAAGAGGTTGTCGACGATCGCGGAATACTCGGAGCCCGGGATCGACGATAACGATCATCGTCCACCGTGCGACGAGGAGGAGGAGGAGGAGGAGGGGACATCGATTCCCAGAGGCGATCCCGAGCGAACGCTCGAGGACCAGGCGGCGGCCGTCGAGTACTTCCTCGTGGACGACTCGCCGATGGCTAAGTTCAGTCGGAGCGTCAAGTGGATCTACAAGAAAGTGAGTCTCGAAAGCTCCGTTAAAAAGCGATTTCTCTATTTTTCGAGCATTTTGTCTATTCTTCGAGTTCTTCCAGCGTTCCTTCATGCTTTTCGAGCATAACTTTTTGAATTCGTTTCGTCGAAGGGGATGTGAGATACAGCGGAGAGAAAGGAAAGAAAGGTAGTTTGAGGCACGTTTGTCGGAGAGGAGACGGAACGATCGAACTCGACTGTCGGTCGATGTAGTTGGTTGTACGGTTAATGGTGAATCGCAAGCGTGGAATTATCATATTCCGCGAACGTGTGACGTTGACGTTTCTATCGGCTGAAAGGTTCGATTGTACTCTCTAGGTAGCGGTCGGCCGGCTCGTCCTCTCCTCTCCTCTCCTCTCGGTGAAAGAAGCTATTAACCGCACGCAGCCGTACGCCAACGCGTCCTTTTGCTCTGTTTTACTTTCGAACTCCTCGAGCCGTGTCTGCGAAACGGTTCGAACGAAACGTGGCCGCCGTGCACGCCGCCTTCCCGCCGCGGATCACGAAAGTCGTGACGGGTTTTGCGCTTCTCTTCCTTTCTACGACGAACCGGCCCGTCTACGAAACCCTTCTTCGAAACCGCCGCGATGCATCGACCGGTGGAAAGCTGGTCCTAGCGTGCAGGAATTTTTTTAGGGGAAATTGGCGGACGGAGTCGCGTCGATCGAACTTGGAGAGTGGTGGTCGAAGGAATTTCGAGAATCGAACGAAAGATAATAACCCTCTCCCCTTCTCCCCCCACCGTTATTCGTTATTACACGTACAATGTTTGAAATCCATTTTTCCACATACGTATTTTCGTTTACGATCTCATATGTTTATTTGTTTCGTTTCGTTTCGTTTCGTTTGTTTGTTGGTTCGTTTGCAAACAACATTAAACCCCTACGACTGTGGCATCGGTAATGAATACACCGTCGCGTTGGAACGTGTTAATGAACCAGATGACAACATTTCTCGTCTCATCCTCCTCGTCCCCGACCTCGGATGAAATGCTCGCTGGAACGCGGTGCCTGGAATCGAGATAGATCCTCTCGCTCGTTCGCCCTCCCACCCCTCCCTCCTCTTTATCTTTCGCCTCGTCTTCTCCAATCTCTCTCTCTCTCTATATCTGTCTCTCCTCGACGCGACGCGACGAGGAGAGAATGCAGAGAGATCGAGCTACTACCCGATGTCCTCTACCTCCACGTACACGGATTCATCCCCATCCCCGGATAAAGAGCAAAAGTAAGAGGCAGTGAAGCCGGGCACAAAAGAAACAGGGATAAGAAAGACGAGGGAAGGGAGGGAGTCGCGTGTCGAGAGGGTCGGGCGAACTTAGAAACTCTTCTCCGGCTTTCGCCACTCGGCAGAGAGCACCACCTCGAGAAAGAGAGAGAGAAGAGGGTCTTACGCCGCGAAATGACCTATTTCTCGTCGTCGTGGCTTAAGTTTTTCGAAAAGGGAGGAGAGAGCGCGTGGAGCGACGCGAGCAACNTTAGCCTCCACTGGCTAACCGAGTGTTCTTCGAGGTTAACGAACCTTCCCAGAATTCCGTGCGCGCTTTTCCTTTTTTTCTTTTTCGCGTATACAATTTCGCGGAATTTCGCGTTCCATCTCTGCCGAGAATTACGCGAAACTTTGGCGTATTTATCGCGTTATCGGGTTAGTACGCGCGCCATGTATTCTCCGTTTGTCGGAAATGGAACCACGCCAGAAATGGAAGAAAATTTCACGGGGGGAAAGGGGGATTCGGTGGAAAATTCGACGCGTTCGAGCGCGCGTAGTCTGACGATGGTCAGGCGATGAAATCGATACCGCGACCCGGTTACTCGAAAGGTGATAAAATTTTAATTAGCAAATTATGTGGACCCCCGCCGTGATGGCCAACCGAGCTAATCGAAATCTCGATTTTTGGCGGCTCTAGTTCGCTTTCTCTCCTTTCCCGATTCGCGAGGAGAGAGAATCGTGCATGCTTGAAATATCTTGGCGCGCCAGGTGGAACGAATAGCCAGGGCCACGGTCTCTACAGATTCTTATCCCGGCTGCGACGCGTTCCGCGCGTCAGCGACATCTCTCTCTCTCTCTCTCTCTTTCTTTCTCCTCTTTACGCTCCTTCGATCGTCGATATTATTCCCTCCCTCGATCGATGGAAACCGAACCAGATCCAATTTCTCGTCTCTCCGCCTCCTCTCCCCGCCATTTCTTTCCCCAAATTTTGTTGCGATTCCATCGAACGTGACGGTCTCTCCTCCTCTATCTCTATCTCTCTCTCTCTCTCTCTTTCTTTCGAGAAGACGCGAAGAACGAGCCCCTTTACCCCGACGAACAGGAGCGGTGCAGGAAACGAGGTGGGAGCAAGACGAAAGTAATTTGCCGCAGGAAACGCGCGTAATCGCAAAATCGACCACAATGTCGACGTCGTATGCCGAAAGTATGGGAGCAATTTCCATCGGCCGGGTTCCATCGTCCGCGGGCTGCTGTAACGATCAGTCTGCCGTTTGATTGAACTCGAAATTCGCGTTACGAAGTAAACTCTTGCGCGTTCCGAATAATATATATCGCCTCGAAATATCGAAATTCGAGCTATTTTCCCACGCCTCCCCCGCTCATCGTTAATTCCTCGATCGATCCCAATTTCGATCTTTGAACCGTAGTAGCGAAATAAAGAACCAGGGTACGAGCCCGGAACCGGAACGGAATAATAGAAAACGATTTTAACGATTTAACCGTCGAATCTTTTTTCCCCCCCCTTTAATTAGAAATTTTTGCCTCCAGGCCAGTACTTCGAGCGCGTAGACGTATACGTGCCGTTAAGTCCCGGAAGGAAGAACCGACTTGGACCGACCTCCCCCCTACAGTGTTGGATCCTAGATTTGTTCGTAGATAGATTCCTCATGCCAGCTCCGCAACAGAACCTGTACCAAGAGGACGATGAAAACTGTCATGGACCGATGGACGGCGTGCGACCGCACGATTTTCCCGAGACCTATGAACAGTTGTTGAAACACTTCTGCGTCAAACCATTCTCTTTGCCCATATATTGTCTGGACAACAAACGGCGAGTCTGTCAAGATTGCTACGAGAATGGCTTAGATAATGAAGTGCGAGTCCTCTATCAGGAAGGCGGATACCATTCTATGTGCAGAAACGCCGGTGTAGCCAACGCGACCAAATGCCACGTTTGCCAACGGCGCATAGCGTATATAACGCCGGCAGGCTCGTGCACCGAATGCATCGAGGAATTTTTCGAAGTGACCGGTGAAGATTTGCGGAATATGTCTAGGGGGAAAACCATAGACGTGTTGACGAGGTGGTGATGTAAAACTATTATTAAAAAAAAAAGCAAAAAGTGAAAAGTGCGAACAATTGGAACACTGTAGGAAAAAAAGAGAGAAAAACAATTTAACGAAGATATCGAATCGAGAGTGCGAGTGATCCGATGATACGACCCCGATGGACAATATGACAACAGTATCCAGCGCTTGCAAAAGAAAAGACGAGAAATCGGAAGAAATATATACTACTAGAAAAGCAAGTATTACCCATCTATTTCTATATATCTTTTCGATCCAACCATCTTTCACGATTTGTACGTATATAATCGATCGTCGAGATAACGAAATCTGGAGACGAGATAGATATCGAAATCGAGATAGTAGATAGTAGTCGCGGAAATTCGACACCGTGGATCGGATCCCGGTAGGGATACACCCGCGGGACATTCGATCTCTCGGTCGATCGAATCGTTTCGTTTCATTTCGTTTCGTTTCGTTTCGTTTCGTTTCGTTTCGACCGTTCGAAACCGCAGTTTCGCGTCACCAAAGCGCAAAAGCGAATCGATTTCACCGGAGCAAGTGTCGCGTTAATTGGAGGCGGGGGTGTGCCACCAACGATGACAACAATCGGAAACAGACGGAATTTTTCTCCTCGTTCGGGAATCGTATCGATACCTTCGAGCCTTCGACGCGGCACGAGTTACGAGGGCGGCCCGCCAGAATCAATTATTTATTTTCACGCGGACCGCGTTGTGCCGCGTCGTGCGCTAACTCGGTGATCGATTAACGAATCCGCGCACACCCCTCTCTTCCGTCACACGAGATGCGTTTGCTCGGTTAATTTGCCCGGTGATTCGAATTTATGGACAATTTCGCGATCCATTCGATTTAGACAATCGCCCGCCTCTCTTTCTTTTCTTCACTTTCTATCGGGAGATAGAAACGTGCGAGGAAAAAGGAAGAGGGATATTTGTTCGAGATAACGACGAGACGTAAATGGATCTTTCTCCCCCCCCCCTCCCGAGAGAGTGAACTGGTCTTTTTTTTTTTTTTTCTCGTCGCGTGCTATTCATCCCGGGACACCCTGTATAAAGCGATAAATTGGATTCCCGTCGTCGGGGCAACTGGGAGAGGCGCACCTTAATCTTGGCGGAGACTTAACGCGCGTACACGTATATATAGCATGATCCGGGCATGAAGAGAGCCGGCCTCGATTAATCATACAGTCTTACGGTGACAGGTCTCTACGAGAGGCTGAATCTTCGCCTTGTTGCTTCGCGATCGGATCGATACACGGTGATCCTATTGAAACTAAATTACTCGCCATTATGAGTCGCACGGCCAACGTATACTCGATATATATATATATATCTATACACGCTTCGTTTAATCTCTTTTAGATGTTTAATCCTTTAGGATCGACGATCTCATTCTATTATTATTATTATTATTATTTTAGTGGAAAAGAAGTTGGAGTGGAATTGCCACTCCCCACTTCTCAACTATCTATCTATCAATCTATCTATCTATCTATCCACATTCTCGTAGAATTTTTACGAGGTTGAGTTGATCGTATCGATAACGGTCGTCCGTTTAATCGAGGAAACGTCGATGATGCAGAATTTTCCTTTATTTTTTCGTCGTATGACGATTGACCGAGAAATAATATAATCGCTCTTCTTACGCTCACGCGTGTTGTTTTCTCACGGAATGACTTTCCTCGGGAAAGGAA